AGGGGGGAGGCAGGCCCGGCAGCCCCCGCGAGGGCCCCGGCGCTGACCCCAGCCCCGCTGCAGGCCGGAGCAGAGCCCCCACCACAGGGGCAGCCGAGTGGCCTAGACCACTGCCCACCCACTGCCGAGGCAGCAGGAGCACCGGCACGGGCAGCCGGGAGAGGCTGTGCCCACACAGCGCTGCCGGGGGCCTCCGCTGCCCACGTCCTGCAGTGCTCTGCCACGCTGGCATGGCAGGGACCCGGCTGGGGGTGGCCCGGGGTTCGCCGGGATAGCCAGGGGTCTGCGGGAGGCGGCGTGTGCCCGTACCTTGATGAGGTGCTTGTTGACCCATTTGGTGAAGGTTTTCTTCTGGACCCGGTCTCGCTCATCTGCAAGAGAGGAGAGAGCAGGGTGAGCAGGCAGCGGGGGGGTTCCCAGCGCCGCAGGGGTGCCGGCGGTGGCACAGCTGGCGGGATCGCCAGCAGAGGAAATGATGAGCCAACTGCTCTGGGGAGCCACGGTGAGTCACGGGGTGTGCAAGGGGAAGGAAACAGTTAACGTGGATCAGCCCCTTCGTGCCTGCACCACCGCAGCCCCAGCAATGCTGAGCCGTGCCCGCAAGGCGCGATGCCTGGAGTGGAACGGGGGGGCCCAGCCCTGCCCTGAGCCCCCGGTTCCACGGAGCCGCCCCAGCACAAACCCAGGCGCTGGGTGCACGGCCCGGGATGGGGCTGAGCCCCCGGGTCGTCTGCACCGACGCAGCCCCAAGCGCGGCGCGTTCACCCCAAGCAAGACGTCTACGGGATCAGGACGAGCCCACGGGGCGTCTGCCTCAGCACAGCCCCGGGCGCTGCGCATTCACCCCGCGTGGGACGTGTCTGGGGTGGGGATGAGCCCAGGGAGCCGCCCCAGTGCAGCCCCAGGCACCTTCGCCCAAAGCAACGCACGTACGGGGCTGGGGCCGAGCCCACGGGGAGCCTGTGCCCACGCAGCCCTGAGCACCACCCGTGCAGCCCCGGCCGTGGGTGTCCGGGGTGGGGCTGAGCCCACGGAGAGTCTGCCTTAGTGCAGCCCCAGGCACGGCACGTTCACCTCGAGTGGGACGAGACCATGGGGTGTCTGCCCCGGCACAGGCCCTGGTGCGGTGCGCACGGCCCAAGTGGGACGGGGCTGAGCCCATGGGGTGTCTGCCCTGGCACAGGCCCCAGCGCAGTGCGCACGGCCCGAGTGGGACGGGGCAGAGCCCATGGGGTGTCTGCCCCGGCACAGGCCCCAGCGCGGTGTGCGTGGCCCGAGTGGGATGGGTACGGGGTGGGGATGCACCAACGCAGCCCCGGGCTGCACATTCGCCCCGAGTGGGACGTGTCTGGGGTGGGGCTGAGCCCACAGGGTGTCTGCCCCGGCACAGCCCGGGTGCCAACGGCACAGCCCCAGCCCCAGCCGTCGCTGTAGCCATCCGGGGCAGACACGGCTGCTGCTCCCGGCCGCCCGAGTGCTGCTCTGTGGGGTGAGGAGAGGCCAGGGGGCTGCCCAGCCCCCTCCCTGAGGCGGCTCCTCCGGGGGCACCCACAGGGACTCCCAAGGCCCCGTCGCAGGGTGACGGCCCCAGCAGCCATCCCGTCCGCTCCCGCGGCCAGCCGCAGGCC